CTCGCATTATGCGAAGTGTGCCGGAAATTAATTCTCGGTAATGATATCAAATTGTTCGTAGAACGCGATCGCTACGAACTGGGCTAAACATCAGAAAGATTGAAACGTATGTACGTATGTGCACCCACGACGCGCAGTTACATTACGACGGGTAAGTAGGTAGTACCTGCACGTAACGAACGCTCGCAAAATAAGAGAAACGGCGAAACACGATCGGGCAGATAGATAAGCTTGGCTACTGCGAGATCTCCTTTACTCCGCGGGGTTCCCGGAAAGAGAGGTACTCGAGATGGACACTCGCCATCTCATCTAACAGAGATAGGCCGTGGCCCAGCTACCATATCTGATGAAACGCGATGGATGGGACAGCGTGACAGTAAAGTACGAAACAAAAGTGTCCTCCGCGGTGTGCTTTCCTTCTGACCCGACGGCATCTAAACCGAGTGTCTTTCGACCACCCCCTTCGGCACCCACACCTGGAGCTTATGCGACGACCGCGCTGGGACCCGACAAAAACTTTTACTATCTTTTCGTCAATTTGTTACCTACTTTCACATTAGTTACCGGTTTCGTTTTCTTCGTAACGTTTGCCCTTTTACTTTTACACCGGGCATCACTGTGGAATCTTCTTTCATACGGTGGACACATGATAAAGTTTTACATTTATATAGCCGAGCATTCATGCGATTGCATGCATTCCTTGCATGAGTAATGTACGTATTTGAAAACTCGTTCCGATTTCATACTGACACGAGGATTAAAACTGACAAAATTTCGCTGCATGATTTGAGACCTGCAATGATACACACAAGAAACTAATTCCAAATCATCGCAATAAGAAATGAAAGGAGAATCAAGTTAATTGATGCAACATTGGTTGAGTTCTAAACTAGAGTGAATCCGATAACTGTTTGAACACAGAGACGCGTGATAGTTCAGAACAGAAGTACATGTATAAGAGAGCAAGTTCAATCAACAAATGACATGTTTATATGGTTCTCTTGGTGTCGATCGTCGTCGGAACTCGGAGAGCAAACTCGTGGCGCAGTAGGTCTCTCGACATGACGCACGACCCCCTTAGAGGCGCCAGCCTGCTGGAAGAAGAAGAAGAAGACGAAGAAGAAGAGAAAGAAGGCGTTCCGACGAAACGGAGCGCGGTGTCGGATCTAGATAAGATCTCCGAAACGGGGATCACTAATATTTTACAAAGTCATCGAAGTTGCTCGCTAACTTCGGCATAAATTACAATCGCAGCCTCCTTCTCTCTTTTCATTTCGTTCCGCTTCGCGTTTATCCCTTACGCGGTTTCCCGCATATGATAAAAATTTACGCTTTAATTTAATTAATTTCAACCTTTCGGTTTCATAGCTTTTACTTACGATCGCGATTATGCGTTCGTTGTCCTTTAATGATACTTAGCATATCTATTAAAAGTCAGAAGAACACAGGGTTCGAACCACGACGCGGATACATTCTTCACTGCTAAGTCCGCCGGGGACTTGTTCATAAATCATAATGTTTGCAGTGCCGTGTGACACGCGCTAGCAAAATATCACGCATCGCAGAGGTGAATGATGGTTTCGGTATGGCTGACAAATTAATTCGATGTCTTCGACGGGTAATTTTGGAGATTTTAATGTTTATCCGATTCTTATGTGTCGGCGACGAACACTGACCGCGAATAAATCGCACGACATTCAAAGTTCATGAATTATTGTAGCTTGAATTATTAATCAGACAAATCATCGGGCATGTAAAATCGTATATCTCCACGAAAGTTCTTTTCGAACAAGCTCTCGCATCATAAATATTGATGGAAGATTTACTACTAAAGATGTCGATGTTACAAGGTTATTTACAAAAAAGTAAGAGGCGAAATTAAACGTAAATCATGCGACAGATATTTCCGTATTAATATACCTTAAAAAATAAATTCTGTAATTACTTTGTCAGCGTACTGTTAATTAGGAAATAACACAAATTTATAAACTTATAGGAAATTATATGAGATATAATAATGTTTTTTCTTTAATATCCAAGTATTTTACTAAGACGAAACATGAAATCTCGATTCATCGCTCTCAAGACAAAGCGACTTCCATCTCAGTGAAAACAAGGGTGGTTAGTCAGAATGTAACCGAGAAGTTAACGCGATACCGATCTGAATGTTGAAAATTTTCAGGGGGTTGTAATATAGATATCACCCACGAAGACAGCCTATCCATTCTTGGGTAGATTCTAACCCGAAGTCAAGCCAGAAATTAATATTCTGTTTTTACGTGCAGAATTTGCCTACCGTGGATCGACGATCTCTGGGGAAAAGCTCAGGTATTCGGTCGTAGTGTATAGAATGGCAAGGACGAGGGAATACCATGCCACCCGGTTCGTTTATCTCATTCCTCGATTTTCCACATTTAAATCATCCTACATTTTTGAACACCAGAAACAGAAAATTCTACCTTCGTCTATATTTTATGACTGTACATATTTTTCACGAGAGAAATATTATTTCTCTTGAATCATTCGTCGCTTTTGACAGAATTATTCATACAAATTATTAAGTGAAACAATCGAACAGAATTATCATATTAATTGCTAATATCACGTAGTAAAAGGTTGATAAAGAAAAATAAACATAATAAATATCTAAACTGATTGTCAATTAACGAAACTTTTTAAGTGATGAATACATTTCACAAACAATTAAAACATTTCGATATTTTTCTCTGCTGACATATCACAAGTAATGCGTATTTATTATTTCATCTTCTGTTCATTTATCTCTCGCATCCGTAATGGTAATCGCATCTAATATCCGTAAATATCGGTCTATAGTTCTTATAAAAATTTCAAGAACTGCATTGAAAGGGACTGATCTCGACAATTAATTACTGTCTCGAAAAACAGAAGTTAAAGTAGAAGTTTCTTTATAACCATATGTCCTGAAAAAGTGAATCGGACGAAGTAAATGTATAAGAATTCGCGAGTGATTTCATAGCAAATTACACGCGTACGAAATTCAATCCAAAATTAAAATCGACTTTAAAGCGCATCTTTTACAATGTATATGTGACTAGGGCGTATTGGCTTAAATTCATCGAGACCGGTGTCCGACTAAAATGAAACGGGAAAAAAAAAGAGAAAACAAGGGAGAAAGGTAGAAAGCGTACAGTGTGTCGGCGAAGACGGTATCACGTTTCGTGTGAGCCGATATTTGTTACACGTTCTTATAGAAGATGAAGAAGCGGTCCGTCGCGCGATCCGAAGGCGCGGAGCGAGAACTGGCTGCTGGCACGGGTACGAGCACGCGGCCGACGAGCACTCGGGCATCTCAGGGCCCTATTAACGAACGACCCCCCGCGGTCGACACAACGGACCCAATCAACCTAACTCCAATTCCAGGCTCTTGCTCCGACTTGTTTTATGTAATGCCCGCGACGCCAGAATCAATTAGTTGGGTCAGTCTCCTATTTTGCGTATAGGATGGCGGCTAATCCAAAAAGGTTCCGAACTTATTTGCAACTGACCGCCTTGAACCAGAAGACCACGATAGATGAGAAAAACCGGTTCGTTGCTATTTAAGAGAAAATTAAATAATTCCAAACAAACGAATACAGAGATGCTAATCAAATCTTTAATAATATCGAACAGCCTAATTTAATATTGATTTTCACTTAAGATACTGTTTTTATATAATATGTTCTAATTAATTTAATTGTTCTAATTTAATTGTTAATATCATACAAATTATATTGATATATAAATGTATAGGGAATCTAAAGTGTACATTAAATGGTGGTATATTTTGGGCCAGTGCTAAATGGTTAAATTTCGATGTATATAAAACACATCGTTTCTCACGAATGAAAACTGAGACATAATCATGAAAAAAGGAAAACATAAAACTATCAGCATAGTAAAAGTAAAGAGGACATGAAAGAAAGACGTTACTGAATCCATATATCCTTAAAATCAAAAAACCTCAGTGAATACCACTAGATCACAGCACGAGCGCGATACATCACACAGCAGAGACCAGCATGGGAGCGTACGATCGCGCGTTTGTTCGGCTACTAGGCAAAGAATCGGGCCGGGGCTATTCACGATCCAAAAAGCATTGCCGCTCGTATCAGAAAGAAAGTGTGTGCATACATCAAGCTTGTTTATATCTACGGTAGAGTCAGGGCATGCAACAATACAGCAATTTGGCTCGAACTGATACGAGATCTCAGGTGCCTTTCCCACCTTACCGTTACCATCAGCGTCCATCGACAAACGACCCTCCCTCGTTCCCGAGCCCATGACAATGGTATAGAATGAAATTTTTACCTGATGAAGCCGTGTTTCACATTTTTTTTCAAATCTATTATACACATCGCGCTTATTTTTATAAATCTGATTAAAATAAAAACTAATCATTTCTTTCAATTATAATAAGTTCGAGAGAATATTGTACATGAAATTAATATTGAATATTAAAATGTAAAACAATATTAATGTGGGATTGAGTTCAATTGAAAAAGTGTGGTATTGACTTAATACTATTTTTGGATTGCGTTTCCATAGGGGAAAGTAACAGAATAAAAACCGGGTCGAAAATCATTGTCCCAAACTGTACATGAAAATTATTTGTATATCCCTGGAAAACATCAGTCGCCCGTACTACGTATTTCCAAACGTTTACACTTGTATAGGCATACCCAACTCGCATATGCAAAGACGTGTACGCGGATACTACACTGTACCCTCTCTTTCTGGAATTCGATGCGATCTTATCTCGGCTTCGAAGCCACGACCCCCGCGAAGAGGATCTTTGATTTAGTACGCTAGGAGAGGAGAAAAAGAAGAGCTGCAACGCGACTCAGCGAGGAAACCGGTCATATACGTTCAGCAGCCGTAGTACTCGGGAACGCGATTCACAAATGAAAACAATTTTTCTGCTTGCATTTTAAAATAGTACTCGATAAAAATTTTATTTCTTTAGTTAAAATAAGACTTACCTCCTTTAGCGGCACTTTGAACGGTAGAATTTTTGTACCACTGATTACGGTTCCATAAGGCTTATATTCCAACCATCTGTACAAAATACACAGTAATAATGCACAAAAGAATGAAAAATAAATTATTATAAAATAAAGAATTATGTATTAAAAAATGCATAGACAAAAACATACTGACAATGAGTAAAGTTTATGTACGAAATATAAAAAAGTTATTCGGGGTGACGAATACGATATGTTCGAATGCCAACCATATAGGTGAACTATCATACATGCATGCAACAGGTGGTAAAAAAGAAATATAATAATACAACGAATATCGCCTTGATTTTGTACAAAATATCAAAACCCAAGTTATACAATATTAAAGATAAAGGTATGAATGATTAAACTTTATTTAACATATAGCAAAAATTAGTAATTAATATACATTATACATAAGAATGTATGTATGGTTTGAGAAAATGATTCTTAACCCGTTTTTGATTGTGTTAATTTCTCATATTGGGACAAAAATCGAAAACAGGAATAAATCTATGCCTCAATTTTTCAATGCTTCATTAACATGTTTTACATTCTTTAGATGAAGTATAAAGAAGCATGTATACACATGCACACTTTGCAGAAACTCTGATAATAACTATCAGAATAGCTCGCAATCGCTTGAGAAACAAATATTCCACTCCACCAGTATAGGTTTAAGTTCTACAACTGATCATTGAGCAATTATAGAAAATCTGATGGTAATCGAGCATCAGAAGAGAAGGCATAGATTTGTTACTATTTTTGGGTCTTGTTCCAATAGGAGAAATTAGCGAAATAAAAAATTCGGGGAATCATTGTCCCAATTAATTTGTACATTTGAAATGTTTCCGTATTATGGTAATCAAAGAAAAGGACACCACCTATGTAAATCTCTAACAATGATAACTACCACTCTCAGCTGGTAAGCTAGCCACCGCATAAAGCGCGTAGGAAAAATATATTTACAGAAATCAAAAGTATATTATCAATTATAGTTCTATATAGTCAATACTTGAATTATAATATTTAAAGTAATCATTTAATCAGTTGAATTTTTATCACGAGCTGGAATTGAAATAGAAGAATGAAAAATACCGAGAGAAGTCGGCACAACATAACCTCTATGCAATGTGACCTCATCAAAACCGATTAACACCTAGTTTTAAATGCCTCCGTAAATTCGACGGTACTGTAAAAACTAAAGAATAAATAATACCTACCTGTCGGGTATGGATTTCGGCATATTCATCGCTTATTTAGATACTTTCATGCGAAATTGAAAGCATAACGCATAACATCGAAACGTAATACCACTAACACAGTATACACTACACACCCATACTAAGTACACACACGCTGCAACAAATGCAATCGATACTGCGATATTACTCGCGACGCAGAACGATCAATCGATTTCTCAGCTTTCGCGCGCAATATTGTGAAACTATATACCATACAAAACATTAATACTTACCACTTGCC